TGCGTGAAAAGGCCAATAAGAACCTTTCTGTTGCGTATCACAGGCTTTGTCCTCAGAGTCAGTCGAGAGACTTCCTGTTTTCAACAAGTCAGCCTTACGGCATTACCAGACGACCATAGAGGCTGACGACTGGTGCATGCCCAGCAAGGATCCAAAGAGACTGGGCAATTCCAAGAGGACTCTGTGATGGCGGACTGAAGGAGGACACAATAAATGTAAGAAGACAAAGAGGATCCATGTTGGAAGAAATGGATAAGCTTGTACTGTAAGTGGAAGAAGGCACCAAAGGCTTTCAGCACGCTGTTGAACCTGGACTTGTGTGTGTGGGTTCCTTTGTCGCATAGGAGAGAGAAATCTGGATAAAGGAAATGGTTATTGTTGGTGTGGAGAACCAGATTAATGCACCAAAATAACTGAGCTGAAAAATATTCCAACCAACCGGCAGGCAATTTCATTTTACTATACGACAATTACAGGCTGCTAATGGCAATGGAACTAGTATTAATCTGCCTTTGCCTCACTCATTACACTCAGTTATCACTTATAATACCGTGTTAACACTTGGAAGTAAGCATGCTGTTTGTGTTAATGTAACTTTTTTTTTTCTTCACAATCTTAAGTTTTGCACACGGTCTTTGGTCAGTATCATGGGTAAAGTTTTGTAGGCTAAGTGTGTATCGATGCCTTGAAACACCCAGCCAAAACCAGCTGCAACGGGGTCACTTGAGTTAAACAAAATGGGAACATGCTCAACCACTCCAGCATAAACACCAGAGGAGCAAAGTCTGTTCCTCCACTTATGTTCATGGAGGCATTTCAGTCATTTTGAACTTGTAGCATTGCTTCACTCACACAACTTAAGCATTTCAGTGGAGTTTAGCTCTTATACAGCCACAGCATTTTAGAGATGCCAGAAGAAGAATTTGCACTGGTTATGCGTGGCATAAAATGATAGTATTTTTGCTTTGATGACATCAATGTAAATTTTTAGTCTTTAAGCTTCTTTAATATAAGGTGTAAAAGAATATGGTTCTTTTAATGTACGTCAGTAAGCTACCTACCTTAGTCTTCAATCTATGCAGGCTGCGATCATTTTAAAAGTTGGAATATTGTGAATAATATTTGATGGATGTTTGGTTCCATAGAGCAAAAATGAGAAAGTGCCTTTCTGGAGAAGTGGAATTGTTATAACATAGCATTGCAGCATATGTGAAGTTAATTTGTACGGTTGAACTGTGAGTAATTATATTTTAACTGTAAAACTGCCAAGTGAAAGCTGTGCTACACAATAATAATTCTCCTCTGTTGAAACTGGTGTGAAATTAATCGCAGCAGGAGCGAAAATACCATACACACTTTTTAAACTGTTTCCAAGAAACTTTTCAGTGTTTCTCTGAGAGTAACTGTAGACCTGCAGTCACTAGATAATATCATGCTAAGTGTTTTGTAATGATGCATGTGTTGTATATTTAATAACCCACTTTAGAGGGTGTAAAGGCCTTTGTGAAATGTCAAATGCTTTAGTGCTGATCTAACAGATATTGCCTTATCTGTATCTAACAATTTCACGTTTTTCCATGTCTTCATTACAAACCAGTCAAACGTTCAAACACTGTACTTCTCAATTCAGTCAGTTTGTAGTGTTTAGCATTGCTCTTGTTGGTTAAAATATGAATCTTTAGCTTTAGACTTTTATCATGATTTGTGAACTGTCTGTGCACCAACAGACACATTTGCATTTTAAACTGTATAAACAGTAATCTCAAAAGCCACGTGTGACTGTACTGAAGTTGTGGTTCGCCACTAAAAGGACCAGTGAATGTAGAAAATAAAAATCTCACTTCTCAACACATCATTTCTTGTGCCTTGTGCAGCTCATGGTGCATTTATGAACTTAACCCTGTGCTTCTGTTCAGACCAGAAAGATCTTACCAGTATGTTGAGGACACAGCCCCATGTGCCACTGCTCTCTGACATATCTGGAAGTTGTTTTCTCCCTCTGACTCCCTCTTCTCCCCCTGCATCTTGTTTTTAGGAAATTTTGCTCTGTTTGTCTGTCACCATCGCAGACACAGTCCAGTGGCTTTTTTCATGGCCAGCTGCCAATAGGGGTTTGAGAACTGGCTGTCCTGCTCTGTTGGGCCCCTTCATTAGTGTGCCCACATGTCGTGCTCTATTCTGGTTTTGTTACTTTTCTCTACTTGTCTCTCTTAATTCTGTTTTCCTGCTCATTCAGGCACGATTGGCATGGCAGCAATACAAACACAGTGTTATGCAAGCTAATTTTCAAAGATAAGAGAATAAAAAATAAGATCACTGCAATGTCAGAATCGCTACAGCGGTCAAGTTCAGTTAAATGCGAAACCCATTTCCCTCTTCCTGTTATTAAAATGCATGATTTAAGTATATAATCTCCCTCCGCCTGACTTTTACTGGTCTATTTTAAGAGCTCAGGGAATAACGTCTGACCCTGAAGTCATCCAGACAATGTTCCTGTACAAGAGATGTCTGCTCAGCCTCACCTGTTTATGTGTGTGATCTATGGACTGCCATAATGTTCCTAATGATTACACCAACAGCTCACCACAGGTACAAACTACTGTTGTAAGACGGTGAGGTCACTGATCCTGGCAAGGGCGTAGTTTTCTTAAACACTGCAGGACACACATATGAGACAGGGGGGTTTAGGCTCCTCCACCAACGTGTGCCTTTTCTGCATTGATTTATGGTGTAAATGTCTTTAATTTTGTCAAAATAAAAGTCCTCTGCTACTTCTGTGTTTGCAGTGGGGGACAAAAGCACATGTTGTAAATACTGAGGGGGATGTATCCCTGCATCCCCCCTAAAATCTACACCTATGGATCCCAGTTGCCTCTAATTATTTGGCATAAAAGATATGACACTAACCCACGGATCCTGGGATGGTTCAAAGAATTGCAGGACGATCCATCCAAGCTGTATCAATGCGCACCGATTGGAGATAAAGAAAAAGCTCCCATTCAAATGTAGCCTTCATCTTAATGATTTGTGAGACTGCCTGTTCATTTTCTCCTCTTTCTCCCCTTCAACAACATCGTTGTACAATAGCTCAGCAGTGCTTCTCTGCTCAGACGACAGCCTCAGTCTTGCGTGCTACCCTCTTTTGCACAGGTTCCCTATCTGGGGATCCAGACCCCCACTAGGGGTCGCCAAAGCTTTGCAGAGGGTTGCGAGGCCTCTAAAAAATATATATACAGTAGACCTGTATCTCAGCTTTTCAAAGTTTAGCTTATTATACAAAATAATATTTTTAAAAATCTCACAGAATAAGGGCACAGTGAATCCTGAACACAACCTATGTTCACAGAGCCTTCATTCTCTGCTAATGTCTTGTCCTGCATTAGAAAAGAATGCAGTTAAAACCTGTTAAGTATGTATGACTGTTAAAAATGTAAAAAAAGTACATAATACAGACAGAGAATCTTATAAAGTCCTTAAATATAAGGAAAACTCATCTTTGACGCAATAACTTGCTAAAATTCCTCCAGATCATTTGTTCTATGCAAACTTCCTGCAGTTGTTGAGTTCAATATTTGAGTTGATTGTACTGTTTATCACTTGTTCTGTGCTGATATTGTTATGCATGAAATATAATATAAAATAGCCATAAAATATGTCACTAAGTCAGGGATCGTCGGTTGTGGCTGGGTTATTGGCTCAGGTCACAATTAAATTCTACCTGAGACTTTTCAAGGTTGGTTTAGTCGTCTTCCTTTAGATGAGAATCTACCTTTGAAGTCAGGATGTAAAGCAGCTCAGAGAGAGCATCTGGTGTTGAGATAAGCTGGATATTCTTATAAATCTTGACAAGGATATTATTACCATCACTGTTTTGCAGAGTAACCTCTATTTTGAGGGAGATCGGAGTTTTAATTTTATTTCCGGACGACAACAAAATGGTGCCTGTACACGGCTTTGTGTGGAAAAAAACAAGCACTTGTTGTGGAGGGCTTTGTCAAGTGTTTGCTCTGCAAATAGTGGGGCATCACAAGAGTGTGAGCAGGACAGGGAGCATTCAGGCAGGTTGCCAGGTAGATCTGGATTCCCTGAAGTACGAGGCAGCACTGTGACGTGTAAAATATAAATTGTCTTTACTGACACTCATGCCACTTTAAACGAGACAAATAAGGCCTCTGTGGAAGGTGAGAGACATAAACAACACAGGGATTACAGAAAGAGAGGTTGTGAGGCCCAGCGGGCAAAAAAATCTCACTTGTCAATCACTATAGATGATTATTATTAGACTAAGTTGCACAGCAGTTTTCATTAGCATATTGCTATTTGCTCACCTGTCACTCAAATTACTGCATATTTCTGGTTGAATGGTCAATCCATTCATAATTTGGGCTTAGTTGAATGGCATCCTTTGTCATGTCCAGCTTCAGATCAACTTCATTAATCAGTTTTATAGCAAGTGATTAGAGTTCAACTCCAGCAAGACAATGTGCATGTAGAGGGATTTCTTATGTTCCAGACAAAGGCCTCTGGGAATGTTAGGCAAAAACAAAAAAGCCACACACGTTAGTTATCATTAAATGGTTAGTACCAGATCCAACTAGCAGCATTTTCATTTTCCTCAGTCTGCAGACAGGAAGTAAATGTTTGATTACAATCACGTCGACAGGCTGAGTATCGTCCCTTTCTGAACAAAAAGTCTCTCCATCAGTACAGTATCCCCTCAGGTTCCAGCAATAAATATTTCTTAATGGGAGATGGCAGAGGCAGCTGCGCTATACCTCTGTGGCAGGATGTAGCCAGGCTGAGTCTGATGGCACATCTGGTCAGGTGAAGCAGGCTGCGAGGAGTGTTGGAGCAAACAGCAAACATGGAGTCGTAGAAGTCTTTATGTCGCTGAGGGAGCAAAGAAAAACAGATTGTGGAGTCTTTTAAACAAAGACAGTAGTGACATTCTTACTACTTGCTCGGTTCTACACTGAACACACACTTCATGCTACCTGGAAGCAGTCATCAGGAATGGCAGCTCTCCACTTCTTTGTGGGCTTTAAACGTTCATAAGAGTTGACCATGACTTCCACTGCTCTGGGGTAGTCACAGCAGGTCTGCAACACCTGCACAAAGCAACACACAACATGACACACAGCACAAGAAGACCTATCAACATGTAATCAGCCACAGATACTGTAGGTACTGTTTAAAGTATGATCTAATAACAACAGTTTGACCTCTCACCTTGTGGAACTGGGGCGGGTAGACCCGTGCTGCGTTGAAGTTGAGCAGCAGCTGATAGCAGAGCTCAGGTATGGCCATGGGCCTGACACCGGTCACTTTGAGGAGATACTGAATGGGGGCACAGCCGTTGATGTCCATGGATCGCGCGTCTGCTCCGGCCTCCAGCAGCATCTGCATCAGGACGTGATCGCAGTTCCAGGACGCCTTGTGAAGAGCTGTTTTATTGTCCTCTTCTCGGAGGTTGGGGTCTAAAACAGACGTGAAATGTTGTAGAAAACAAATCAATACATGCACAGAAGTCCAGAAAACAACTCACCTGCATGGTGGTCCAGCAAGAGACGGCAGACAAGATGGTGATCTTGGCTGTAGGTTTGCTCTTTGGCGTCAAAAGCCCAGAAGCACGCAGTCATCAGGGCAGTCTCCTGGAGAGAGTTGACTGCATTGACAGATGCTCCGTGGGCCAAGTAGAGAGCTACCAGCTCTGGGACACCGAATCTGGCTGCTGTGTGTAAAGGTGTCACCTCCTCATTGTTGTTGCTGGGCTCATTGACGTTTGCACCTCCATGGGGGAAAAAGAAATGGTTATTTAGTAGTTTTGGGACGTAAAACATTATTGGCTACTGTGGCTTTCCAATAAACTCCATACATAACTTCTTTTCATTGTATCTTTATGCATTTCCACCCTGTTTTTTAACTATTAATTTGCTTGTTTTTGCTTCATTTTTAATGTCTTTTGAATGCAACTTTAATGTTTTCTTAATGCCTTATGTTTAATGTATTTTTATGCCCCTGTAAAGCACTTTGAATTCCCTTTTGTCTGAATGATGTTACATGAATAACCTTGCCCTGCCTTGCCTTTGAATGCACTCTCATCCTTCTACTAATATATCCATCTACCCATGCATCCTTCCCTCCTGACCTTTGAGGATTAGCTGCTTGGCACAGTCCACAGACTCCCTGGTGATGCAGTAGTGCAGCGCTGTGTGTCCGCTCAGTGACAGGCTGTTGACTTTTGCCCTGTGAGCCAAAAGCAAGGCGACACACTCACTGCTGGAGACCTCGCAGGCGACATGCAGCGGCGTCTTCCCGTTGGGCTTCCGGTTGATGGCTGCACCTTCCTGAATGAGCACCAGAGCTGTTTCCACAGCATTGTACATCACACATACATGAATACCCATCGCCCAGGACTTCTCCAGTTTGTAGCCCGGGAGCCAGTAACCTGTGGTAAATAAGATAAAAATGTAAGTTTGTTTTGAGGCCTTGTGGAGCTACTTTGACAATCTCTTTTTACTGAAAATATATAATCTTTCAGGGATATTGTCCAATTCAGAGTCACAATAACTCATCTTTCTTGGACTTAACACTTGATAGCCTAGCATGGCAAACATTACAGTTGCTGCTGGTGCAATGTGGATCTCATCCTACTTCCTCCATACCTTGTTTATATGAAGCAAGCACCATGCTGGGGTCCTCCACCTCCAGCACAGTGTCAATATCTAATTTCCTGGTGTGCAGAATCCGTTTGACCTCCTGGGCATTGTTGGCCTGCAGGGCCTCCATAAACTGTTGCTTCAGCTGTTTCTCAGCCAGTTGTCTGGGGCTCAGCTCCTCCATGAGCTCCCTAAAAGTAAGCCTTCGCTCCTCGTATGGCACTGCCAAACCAGCCGGCACGGCTGCTATTGCTCTCCACACGGCGTGGAGGAGATTAGAAAGAAATGTGCAAATGGTGATAATGAAGGTGTCAATCCTACCCACACCAGAAGGCCTGCAGAAGCCCCTGCCATCACATAAAGGAGGTGCACGAGGAAGGAAGACGGAAATGAAGAGGGGCAACAAGTGACAGGAGGGAGTCGTCAGACAGAGAAAAATAGCCCTGGAGTGAAATTAGGCTGAATATAAATAGAAAGCAGAGAGGGAGGGGCTGGAGAGCTACAGCTGACTGTGGTTGACTCCAGGTCAGCCAGGCTGCTGAGATGTCCACTGGGAGAAAGGCATGAGGCAGTGGAGGGTCACATGGTTAAGATAACAGGCCATGTGAACATGTTTTGGAGAGAAATCTTCTTGTTCTCGTCTATTCTATCTTAACATGACGATCAGGTTTACTATGATAAATTCTACACAGAAGAATGAAAAAGGACCAATCATAAACTTTTTGCACACCGTCCTGCTGCATGAGACTCAGATTTCTGTCGTACTTAAAGGGACAGTTCACCCTTAAATCAAAAAGTACATATTTTTCTTCTTACCTGTAGCACTATTTTTCAATCTAGATTATTTTGGTGTGAGTTGCCGAGTGTTTGAGATATCAGCTGTAGAGATGTCTGCCAAACTACACTCTCTAACTGTATCACTGCGCATAAGGAAGCATGCATCTACTGCTAGCTCACCTGGCATATAGCTCAGCCTAGGACGATGCCATTAATGTTTAAATCATGCCGTCACAAGCAGAAGTCTTTTGTCCACGAGTACATTCAAGAGACAAGAGGCTCGTGTTTGTGAGTTGAGTTTTTTTGTCACTTTGAGCACCACAAGCAGAGTGCCATCTAGTTCCCTTATAATTGAGGGAAGGCGGACATCTCTAAAACCAATATCTCCAACACCAAAACAATCTAGGCAGATAAATAGCACTAAAGGTAAGAGGAAAAATATGTAATTTTAATTATGACCATTCACACTATGTAGAGAAAGTCAGACACATGGTGAAAAAAGAAGAAACAAAAGCAAACTAGGGACAGTGACCGCACATTTTATTCGGTGTGACAGGTAGCTGCCCTTTCAAACTTTTCAGAATGCGAAAAAGAGAGCAAGGTTAAGACAAAAAAAGAAGGGGAGGAGTAGGAAGACAATAAGCACAGCTTTTTTAAAAGAGTGAAAGCATGGCTAGCAGTTTGTGGTGATTATCTTTTGCTCTCTATGAACATTAAAGACAAACCCTTCCAGACATGACTCAAACCCCCGCCAGGAGCACCAGGGATCTCATCCACATGTTGGTTCCATCATGCCTAGGCAAGCTCAGTCAAGCACATAGAAAAGATCACATTTTGGCCTCAGACGTGACCTTTTAGCCTCCTCAGCCCTCAGACAAACTGTGCACACACACTGACACGATAGAAAACAAGGCTTCTTTAGGATTCTTACAGCATATTGCTCTCAGTGTTTTACTATACATACAAAAGAGTGCAGTCGGGCGGACTGACTTGACAGAGGTGGGGGTGGGGGGGTATTCACAGAAAGGTTCAAGTGTTACAAAATATTCCATAAGAATACATCATGAGCAGTTTATTGAAGTTGCACTGGAGCAGCACTATGGTTGTATTAGAGGAAAAACCACAAGCACGATGGGGGAGTATTACTGCGTTTTGCATTTCCAAACTTTACGTCCTTCATTTGATAACAACCATTCGAATCTAAAATCACTTTTAATGAACAGGTTTAATTATATTTTGGCAATAGGAAGTAATCATACAATTCTGGATAAATCATTGTTAGGTGTTAATAATACTCTTATTTTGTATAAGTTATCATAAACAGTAGTCAGTTGCTTCATTAAATACAGAAATAAATAAATAATAACATTAACAGATCAGTGATACCTGTATTACTGTGGCATTGCATGGAGCTATCTGTAACCCCTACTATTATTCATATCCTTAACCTGTTAACAGTTCATCAGGCGGTGCCCTTGAGACCAAAAGGGAATCATAATCAAAGCTGCCTTCGTGTTTTGTTTTTTTTTTTAATCACGGTGACACTGGTGTCTCTATATTTGCTGTAAACCTATGGAATGATTCTCGGGAATGCTAAAGAAGTAACACAGGGAACATGTCTCTCGGTGAGCGCCGTAATCCTAAAACAAGAACTGCATTAAGTACATACATCAAAATAATTTCAAAGGTATATATTTTTTTATCTAACAAGTAAATCAAATGTTAACTGAACCAGTTTCATAGGAAAATTATAACTACATTGCATCCATGAGGTGCAATTTCCAGTGTAACATCAGGTGCGATCATTTTTAAGACAATTTCTGGACTCACTGCATCTGTCCTCGATCACGGAGATGACTCATCTATATGGCAGCATTCCTAAATATTATTCAGAGAGTCCAAAAGTAATTCGCATGGTGAACTCTGACCTGTGATTTTTTTTTATGAAAGAAAAAATTAAAGAACAATTAGAAATGTTTACTCTACTGTATGTGTTTCGACACTCACACAGAAGCGGGTAGAGGTCAGAAAAATTCTACTTCTCTAGAATTTCTAAAGGCAGCGGCGGGGTTTCACTTTGTTATTGAGAGAGAATATAAAAAGAGGTCAAAAGCAGGTTACAAGCGGTGTCAAAGCAACGTTATGCATATAAGCAGGAAGTTTTGTTTTGACTTTTTTTTTGTTTGTTTTTGTGGTACAGGTTTGGTAAATTACAAATTTCATGATTACATTGTACCTGAAGTCTCCATTAGAACCAGTCCAATGAGTTACAGTATGTCCTTGTCGTCATTCATACCTTGTGAACTGCTTTAGTATGGTACGCGTATACTGTAAGGAGCATTGGACGAGCCAGTGCCGAGGTTCAATTTACAGTGTTTGCACTTCCAGTGTTCTTGCAAGTACTGAGAGAGTTTGTTTCTTCCAGTGAAACTTGGTTCCTGCTTCAGCTCCTATTGGAGAGTTCCAGTGTCGCCTCCTTCAGTAGTGAAAGTAAGCAGCATGGGGACACCCAGTGGTGGGAGATGAGTACTGCCTCATACACTCCATCACACAGGCCTGACCTGTCTGTGCTTCATCAAAGCAATAGAGCGATTCCACTGATCTATGTATCTGAACAGGATGTACATAAGTCTATCAAAATGGCACATAAGACATATTTGTATTTATCACTGTACATGGTCGTCATGTCTACAGGTGCTGTGATGGGTGACGGCTTTGAGGATGATATGGGATGAGGATGAGATGAACTTTTCACAGATTTACTCTGGATTTGAATAAATAATCCTAATTTACAGCAGTAAACAGTAAAATAAATAAAACTGAGTAAAATCTTAAATGGCTAAAAACAGGATGAGGTGTAAAATGAGGCAAATGAACGGGGGGGCAGGTTCCTATCACCCAACTGCTCGTTTTGGTTTGATTTGCTTGGTGAAAAAGTCACTCAACGATCTCCGACAGTTGGGCATGTAGCTCCACCACTGAGAACTATTGAACTACTGAGCAGGCGTCCCTCAGGGTTCTTTTGTGGGGCCTGCTGACGTTCTGTTCCTCGAGATGCTACTTGGTGTGGTGCTACAGTAAAGCGGGAGGTGATCTAACGGTGCGCTTCACTCTGCTGCGCTTTCTTTGCGCGCCTCTTTCTGCTGCTGCTCCAGCTCTCTCTTCCTTAGCTTCTCGCGCTGTTTCTCCACTTTCTCTCGGTTCCTCTTGGCCTTCTCCATCAGAACTTTAAGATCTTTGATCTTTTTCTTGATCAGGGCACGATCCTGGGAAGAAGTGACTCCAAGGGCCTGAAACAAATAACGGCACATAAGTATCTGTCTTTCTTTGGTCTACCTATGTACCCATTAATATTAAAATTGTAATGGTAGCACTGTTTCTAAATCACCCAAAACACATGATTGGCAGTGCTATACTCTTAATTTCTCATACTCACTGGCTGACATATGTTCTGATATACCTGTGGGATCTAGTGTATATGTATGTGAATACAATATATGTATGAAAAACATTTAACTTACCTTGAGCTCAGGACTCTCCAGCTGCAGCAGCTGTTCTCCATCTATGTTTTTGGCAGTGAATTCTGGGATGTATTGTTCTAAGTTGAGGCCCATGAGCCAGCGGGCCACTTGCTGGGAGGTCCACTCTGTGATGCAGCGGTTCTGCCACTGGCACTGCTTTGGAAACTGTCCCTCGTCCAGGATCTGACCATGTGCAACAGGGAGAGAAGCAGATTAGATGCAAAACTTTCCAGCTCTTACATGCAGTATTTAACCATGCACTGAAAGCCTATCCTCTACAGAACGCTTAATGATGATAAGTATACTTAGAATCTATACTATAGAACTATAGTACTATATTCTGTTGCAACCAATGACTACACAGTTTACAGTCACAACACATACTACTCTGTGGGAAAATCAATCTTCACCATAAATGATGTGTGGGAATGAAACACAGACAAATACTCGACAGACACATGAAGACATTCATGCAGTAAAACGCAGGTCTCACCTCGTCATCTATCATATCCAGACTCTGAATGTGGCAGCATTGAAAACAACAGAAGATGACCGGGGTTGTTAACAGAGACAAAACAATAGGGCTTACACTACAACAGCCAAGATCAGCATTTGAATACAATGAACCAAAACTGGTGCATTGATTTTAAGCTTGTTGTTTTCTGACAGAGGAATATGAGAGAAGCTTCTTCCTGTAAGGATGTTTGTCTTTCTTTATATCCATTAAGGTAAAAAATTAAGGCAAGTTTATATCTTGAATAATTATGTAAACTAGTGGTTCCCAACTGGTGGATCATGGTTTCAAAAGTGGGTCGCGGGTCCATTCTGAATGTGTCAAGTTCGTAAAAAACAAAAACACAAACACACTTTATTGTTAAATACAGTGAATCTACGTCACAGAGCTTTTATTTTGAAGTGCTTTTTCCTGCTGTAGAGTGAGTGACTAATGGACAGCTACTTGACAGAGACAGCAAACTAGCTTGACGACATGGCCAGACACAAGTATGATGCCGAGTGTATTTAACTGTTGA